AAGATCGGTAGGATGGATTTTTACAAATAACTTTCGTTGCGACTAAAGAATAATTATCACTTTTACCTTCTTCTGATGCTAAAGATTTACTTGTTTTTTAGTTTGTTTTGTTTGCCTTGAAAATAGGTGCTACAGATGAACATAGTTTAGAACTTGAAATCAGCAATACTAATAAAGTTTTAGAAAATGTTTTTTGTGCAATCATATGATTTATAAATAAAATTTCGTGTAACACTAATGCTATTTTTTTATTTTTATTTTATTTTAATTTATTTTTATTTTATTATATTTTTTAATCAGTTTTATAAAATTGAATAAAAAAATTTTTTTTATCAATCATAGATAATTGTCAAGATATCTTTCAAACTTTAAGCAAAGATGTCTTAATAATTACCTATATTAATTCTCTAAATATATTAATTCAAAAATTTAAATTTTTTCAAAACTTTGAGCGAAGATATCTTGATTATCTAAACAAATTCGACAAAACTTTATCTTAATTCTGTAATCATACGGATATATTTACTCAAAGTTACAAAAATTTTTAAAAATGTCTATCAAATGAAGCTGACTAAATTTTTTTAGAACTTTGGGCAAAGGTATCTCGATGACTACCTAACAAAATTTAATACAGTAATAATAAAATTTAATGAGATAATTATTGAGATATCTTTATTTGAAGTTTAAGAAATTATAGATAAAAACACTAGTCATTCCGAGTTTGTTCAAAAAGTCGCCATAACTCAAAACTTTGCTAATCTGAAGTTGGTAAATTAATAGATATGTTTTTGTTTATACAAATAGAGAGGTAGAAAATTAATGTCTGGCTTTAGTGTAACAAAAACATTAACACAAAAAAGATCAAAGTCTTTTGCTTTATGGACACGAAAAACACAAAAAAGTAATAATGTGTATTACTATCAATAACTTTAACAGCTTTAATAATAATAAAATCGGATTCAAAACCACAATAGTGATCTTTGTTGCGGTTTTTACTCTTTTTTACTGGAATATCATTTTAAAATAGATTAAACAAATTATCAGTTCCTATTGGAATGATTGGACTAAACAAATTATCATAGCAGCTAAAATTTTCAGGTAATACTTTTTAAATATTTTTTATTTTTTTTTTAAGATGAGGCCTTGTTCACTTTTTAAATATTAATTAAAAATTTTTTTAATGCTAATTTTTGCTGTTTAATACTAAGGCTTTTTATGTAGTAAATAACCATTACCAAAATGAAAAAGTAAAAATTACAGCTCAGAATACGGTTGGAATAGAGTTGGGTATATTTAAGTTTGTAAACTTAGATCTTTCAACAAATTTTATTCTTCTGAAAATAAAGTACTCTTTATAAAAAATTTCTTGGTTGTGTCGAAGAACTTAATTTCATAGGTTTCAATTACTTTTACTAGCAAAAAGAACTCTGAAAGTGCATAAATATACTTTTGTTTCTTTTGCAAACAAAAATAATGTATATTTTATAATTATTTTCGATTTATTTTTTGCTAGAGAAAGAGCTTTGAAGTATAAATAAATAACAATATTTGGAATATTTCTTTTTTTTCATTATTAATGATAAAATATGGCTTGGAATCGTTGAAAATTAATTCAAGAAATTAAAAAAGATTTCATCGATTTGGGTATGTACAGTAGTTGACAAGATATTCTCGTTCAAAGTTTAAAAGAACTCTAAATTTTCCCTGAATATTAAAAAAGAATATCTCAACAACTTGCACCAGTCAAAAGCTGGCAAATCAGGTACAGTACAAATCGAGTATGCCAAATTTAAAACTGATAACTATCTGATTTTTAAATTTAGCAGCCTGATTAATATCGATTTACAGGACAAAATTAGATATTACAACTGTTCTCAGACATTTTGACCGAATGATTTTTTTGCCAATTTGATAAGTTTTTGATTCAGCAGTGATAAACTTTTGATTTGAGCGTGATTAGTAATATAGTAATAATGATATGATACTACAATGTCACATCCAAAATTAAGTTTTGCTCCAGTATGTTTGGTGTATTTAGTCTATGAAAATTTATGGCGATGGTTGTTTTACCAACAGATCTTAAAAAAAAATAAACCATAAAAAGGGTTCTGAATATAAGATAAACTTTCATGATAACAAGTTTTTATTAATATTTGTCGAAACTGCATTGAAAATTATTATCAAAATCATAATAAAAACCTATAAAAGGAGTTTATTTATTTATGTAATACGTATAAATTATAACAATTATGAATTTTTAAAATATAGCAAATCAGAAAATATTTAAACGGTTAATCTAACAAACATTTTAAAAATCTAAAGTAAATCTGAAATATCCAACTTTGTCTGAAGTAATAGCAACTGAATTTAATATCATCGGGAAAATTCTTTTTATTCGGATCTGCCACCAGGTTTGAAAAAAAAATTTCCCAATGGACTTTTATAGAGAAAGTGGAGAGTAAAGACTTTTACGAGAGAGTGAAAAATAAAGACTTTCACGAGAAAGTGAAAGTAAAGACTTTTATAGAGAAAGTGAAGAGTAGATTTTCATGGAGAAAGTGAAGAATAGATTTTCATAAAGAAAGTAAAGTTTTTTTTTATAATATTCAGAAGAAAGACGTAACAAATTCCTTCTCCAGAATTTGTAAACCATCCTTTAAAAAAAAATCTAAAAAGACTCATAAAAAAAGTGAAAGGTACATGTAAAGACTTTCACAAAGAAAAAAAAAATTCAAAAGTAAAGATGTTCATAGAGAAAGCGAAAAGTAAAGACTTTCATAGAGAAAGTGTAAAAAAAAAAATTAAAAAGCAAAGACTTTCATAGGAGAGTAAAATGTAAAAAACTTTCATAGAGAAAATGAAAATAAGGATTTTCATAGAGAGCAATGGATATATATGAAGTATATATATAGTTACATTATGATCTGCATATTAGATCACATGATCAGTCCAATACGTATACCGATACGTATACATAAATTTCACATAGGCCACACAAATTTAATTTATTGGTAATTTGTAAGTTGACACAAACCTATTTTAAGGAATTTATACAATAAATATTATTACCTTCAGGAATCTATAAACATAATAAATGATTAAAATATTCACAAGAAACATACTAACGCGTCGAGTGTCAAGCACATAGATCATAAACCTTATACTGAAATTCTGTTATGATTTTACCAGCTTTAGGATTTATGAACTTTAAACGATCAGATTTGGTACTTGAATAGGTTGTTTGTTACTTCTAAAGGAAAATCATTATTAGCTGGTGTATAAGCAACGTTGATTTAATGTCTGCATTGTTCGAAATAGAAAGTAGGATGGACATGGGGAATGGATCTTCCTAGTTTGTGTCTGATTGAACGAGCATGACCGAAGTTCTATTTATGCATTAGTGTTCCACAAAATTTTATATATGAATCATATGAGTGACGCCAAGGGAAAAGGGATCATTCGTTTTTATTGATGAGTGAAATAGTGATGGCGCAAAAATTTGATTTTATTCAATCTGGTTGTAAAATCTGTGTGTAATATACAAATGCGAAGTAAAAAGAATAAAGGTGAAAAAAAAACTGAAATTTCAAAAACTCATAAACGGGGAAAATTAGTCTTTATTATTAAGTAAAAGTTTTAATTTTTAGGATATGTTGTCGATCATCAGATAAATAATAAATAATCAATAAAAACGAATGTTCCCTTTTCCCTTGGCGTCACTGATACGTATAACGATGGGAATTTTAACAATTAGAAATTAAATTTTAATTAATAAGTTAACAATAATTTCTAAGCTATATATTGATAAATGAAATATCTAATATGCATACGTAGAACATCTTCGTAGAAATGATCTAATCAATAATTTTTTCAAATTTGCCGATTTTCTATAAATCATTGATCGCGTCAATTAAAAAGCTGTAGTGGAAGATTCTATCGCTGATATAGAACTATTATTATTAGTTAAAAATTATGTTAAATTTTGCTATATATTTTAACCTATATAATACTAATTTCAATTTATTTAACTCTAATTTTAACACATTTAACCCTAATTTCAACCCTAATTTCAATCTATTTAAAGTATCGGGGGGAATCTATGGCTAACGATGAGTATAATCATACTAATTTTATGGCTATGACTTTAGTTCCCACCATTGAATATCAGAGGCGTCATACTATTGTTCTTCAATGGAGCATCGCCTCAAGCCAAACTGAAATTGGCATTTCATTAAATTCCTTCGCTTTTGTCGATCAATGCGCATTCAGGTCCCGAGTCATATGCTTGGATCATGTTTTTTTCTGCGGCTGGGTCACGTTACCTCTTTACAACGTACGTAGCTGTAGTTTGACAAATAATATTAAAAAAATAAATAAAATATCGAATATTCTTGTTTTTTAAGTTGTACCAAAAATCACCCTTCACAGCATATACAGATAAGTAAATGCCTATATGTACATAAACCAAAATTTGAGTTCTTAATAGTATAAGTTTATCCAAATTTGAAACTCTGGTAGCAATAAAAATTTCAAGCCGTTACCAAATCATGTGACGAACCGAATTACAACTTAGCTTCTTAACGCTGGCCAAAACCAAATTAATCGAAATTTTTGCGTTTTTTTACAATTATATAGAGGTTTTTTTACGTCATGAGACTTACTCATGAAACTTTTTGATTTCGGAACCGGAGCTCTAACACAATAAAGTGATCACGGGTAACTAATAACCTACGGAACTCTAATTTGCTGGAGATCACGGAACGAGCATCATTGTTTATGACTCTTAATTTCTACAAATTCAAATTTTGTAAACCACAATACGTACATTACATATATCATTATATATATATCAATCAAAAAAATTTATCCATTAAGACAATTTTTATACATTCTAATCATACATTTAGTGACATACTTAAGTAAATATCAACAATATGAATTAAAAGGCATATATTATAAATATTTGTATCATTTATTTAAAACATATTACGCGATGCTTATTACTGAACATTAAATTCACTCAATAATTCAGGCACCTTAACTTGACCCTTTTGTATTTCTTCCATCATTTTTATAAGATCATAATTAATTTCTTGAGATACTACTGAATCATGGTTATAATTTGGATGGGATCGCACAAAATTTCTTATCCATGTCGCTGCTGTTTGGATTTTCCCTATTTTAATAGAATTGTATTTCGTAAATAATAAATTCACTAAAAGTTATCAACAAAGTATAAATTTTAAAAAAACTTTAATTTAGGGAAATGGATTAAATTACCACTAGCGCGCATGCTAATAAACTCAAGGTACTTTTCCAAGTGATACCTTGTTTCAATATCAATGTTCATTGATTCGAGATAGTGTAACATTATATCAATTAACCCTGGAAAATCTTTACCCTATCATAAACATCAAGAAGACATGTATGTCAAATGTCAACACAAATGTTAATTGATGATTAATATAAAATGTACAATACTTACATTACCATTTATAATTTCATTAATAGTCATTTGTTCAAATTCATCTTTATAGACAGATTTAAATAATTAGTAATGTATGCAACTTTGATCATAAAAAAATAACCACATTTAATTAAATCACATGTCGTCATGTGCTTATTCATGGTGGTTTATGTTATATAATTTTGATAATATTTAGTTACGAAACAATCAATATAGAGTTATTACCTTCATCTCCATCGTTATTTGCAAATATATTCTTTCTGAACCAAAATTTTTCGGTATTTAATGCATCCCTCTTATAAGCAATAACCTTATTTTCATCCACCTATTTAATAAATGTAAATTTAATAAATATGAATTTAATAAATATAAATTTAATAAATATGAATTTAATAAATATGAATTTAATAAATATGAATTTAATAAATATAAATTTAATAAATATAAATTTAATAAATATAAATTTAATAAATATAAATTTAATAAATATAAATTTAATAAATATAAATTTAATAACATAAATTTAATAAATATAAATTAATAAATATTAAATTTAATAAATATAAATTTGATTAATATAAATTTAATAAATATAAATTTAATAAATGTAAATTTTAATAAATGTAAATTTAATAAATATAAGTTTAATAAATATAAATTATTATCATTGCTTTAAATATTAATAACAAACCTTTGAGATTGGTATATAAAAATTCAGGTCATAACTAAGAATAATGCGGGTCAAAAGTATAATGAAAATTACAAATGCTGCATTTTCAAAATCAGTTATTTGAACTTCCATGCAGCGAAATTCTACCCGCCAACCAAGATCCGAATTTGGCTTTGCAGGTTTGAAACGTACTGATAGCCAGTTTGTTGATTGAATGTTCTATATGTATATATATCTCATTAGTAAAGTGCAGTCAATATATAATTATTATATATTATTAAACAACCTCAAAGTGATCAGATGGCGATTCATCGTCTTGATCCAACGAGTCTTCAGAGACAAAAAGAGGATCACGAATAAATAAATAAGACACATGGCGTGCCAAAAGTTCATCAACCCCTAAATGATAATATATACAGTGCATGAATTTATAAACATTACCGATTTTTATATTATAATTATAAGTACGAACATACCATTATCTATTAATCTTTTATAAATATTTTGATCATACACAGAATTTAGATCATTATACTCTTCCTTTAGAGTAGTTTTATCGGTTGATATATAATAAGAAATTGAATCAAAACGTGGCTTATTTATTACGAATCGATCATTTTTGAGAGGCTACGATGAAAATTAAGCAAAGTTAATAGTATATATTTGATTAAATTTTAGAACAGATTTTATTGAATAAATATATATAAATGTGTAAAATCTAACTTCTAAACCCCGTTCTTCTTTTGTACGATCGTCAGTAGATTCCACAAGTGCAAACCATCTACAATCCATGTCAGACAGATAGCCTCGCCAAATTGGTGTTGCAGCAGTTAACGCCAACTATTTAAGTATGTGCATAGATATTAATAAATACAGTATATGCATAATATAACATCATGACAATAAATGTAAAATACAATACCATTATAGGACCAAAAATTGCTAATTGATCATATAATTTCCTAGCCTCTCCAATGTTACAAGCTTGAATGGTTGTTTGCAGACTACAGCTGCCCGGTCCAAAAACAGCAGCATCCATAAATATATGATCTGGTAATGCTCCTTCACGGTCAAGAAATAAATTCGAATCCTTTCTATCATGAAATATCGGTATATTTATAGTGATGTCTGATCCTCGACGATCTCTAATATTATCTGTTATTACTCTTTTTTTATTTAACATAATTATATTTAACATAAATTATATGTCATTACATAAAATACGTGAACAAATAGGAGGGTGAATCAGTAGAAACATAACAAATTTTTTTAAGTAACCTTTTTTTCAAAATTTTAAGCAAAATAACTCAACAATGGCTTAATCAAATTTATCAAAAAATAATTTTTTTTAAATTAATTCTATAACTTATAGAATTTTTTTTTTTTAAAAAAAATATATATATTTATACTAAATTTGATTAAACTTTTGTTGAGTTATTTTTTCTTTAAAAGTTTAAAAAATTTCATTAAAATCACCTCAAATATATTATAAACTACATACTGATATCTCATATGGGGGTTCAAGATCTCATCAGGCACAAACGAACTTTTTAATCTAGGCCCAAATGGTTCATGATGAGGCTCTAAAAATTGACCTGGGCAGCCAAGACGTGGATAGTTGGACAAAGTAGTTATCCTTTCATTTGGGCCTAAATGTTTGGATACAATTTTTCTTCTGAGTTTCATATTTTGCTCAACTCGAAGTAGGCTTTTTAAAGTATTCCTATAAGGGATACCAGGAATTCCTAATTAAAAATTCATAAATACCCAAATAATAATTTACTGTAAACAAATTTAAGTCAAGTAAAGCTGACTGACACCTTCGATCATATACGCTGCGTATTCAGGTTGCCATGATGCTTCGACTACTTCACTATAAATCATAATTTAATTAATAAGATCGTATGTTTTGATCTACTTGATTTCATTATAAACGTACTCTTTCCCCAATGCTTCCTCTTCTTTTTGCAACTCGTGTAAAATATCCGCACCTCTTAATGATAGCTTTGCGTTCTTGCCTTCGTCATCATATACAATTATCATATATTCAATCTACGTAAAAAAATAAATAAATAAACATTAAAAAACTATATAAATGACGTAAATAAATTACCTCGTCACCCCATACTAAACAATCTTTATCCCTATTTTTTGTTTTATTATAAATTGATAAAAATTGGGTTATTCCATGATTACGAATATGATCAGCATATTGTTTCGCTTGTTCCCACGGTAGATGTTTGCTTTGAGATAATCCCATTATTTTCAAGTTCGTATGTCACTAAGAAAGTTGAAAATTTATAGGAGTTATCTAAAGAACTTATATATATAATATTGTAACAATGAATATGACATAACACGCATCTATATGTGGGTTCATAATGAACGATAGCTATAGATAACAACTTCCACTTTCGTAGGCATTACCGTATTTGTGCGTAATAACGCGCATTGATGTTATTTGAATTTTGGCCTAAATTAAGATTACCATTATTCAAAATAACGCCCATGGGCGTTATTACACGCAAAATTGTAACGAAAACATAGGGATTTCATAATTATGGAACATTTGTGTAACATATCGCCACGCATTGTGCTGATAAATAAATATAGAAAAAGACTAGTCGCTTTTTTAACTTATTTTTAATGAATTTTTTCTGTATTTTATTTATTATTTAAAGGTTTATTCACCAATTTATAATTATTTTAATTAAACATTTTTTAGTTTTATTTTTTTATAATTAGGTATAGAAACCGTCTAAAAAAAAAATTTTTTTAACAATTATCTAGTCGTTTACAGTATGAGCTAACGATCAACATCAATCCGCCTAGGCAATGAGGCTAATTTTACGCAGTTGCCTATAATTTTTATTTTTTTGAATTATAATGAAGTTCTTCATACTGTATGCGCATGCCGGTATTAATATATAAAATGATGGATGAACGATATAATATGTAATGTATCGTAATGTGGTAATATAGAATAGTTAATTGGAAGTAATGAAGAAGAAATAAAGAAGTTTCAAAAGATTTAAAATAATAAAAGTTAAACGTGTAAACCTAATAGTTCATCAATGAAATTATAGATTTTTTTTTTCTTAAATTTGTATTTAGCGTTCATCAAGAAAAATTCAGCAAATTTTCTTTAAATTGTTTTTTTTTTTACAAATTGCCACCAAGAGAATTGCTAATTTTAACCGAGGGTAAAACCACCAAGATGCTATATATATATATCAAAAATGTAATAAGTAATTAAAGTAAAGTATTCTAAATAAAAATGTTCAGCACTGCCGAAAACCTAAAATTTGGACTATTATACCTAACTCCTCTCTGTCCCAAACTGTACCCTAAAGCATAGATCGAATAATTCATTTAGACTAAACTCTTATTAAGGCATAAATGACTTGTTTTGAGTAATACTTAAGATGGGATTTTTTTGCATGGCTGTTAAATTATGTACGATTTTTTTTTCTAAATGGGCTGATAAAAATTATGGGCAAGGGTTGATTCTAAAAAATCTAGATATCACTTATTCCGGACAGACAGTTAAAATTTTAGTTGTACAGAACTCGTACGCATATAAACTTTAACATGAATAACATACTCGGTTGCAACCCAATTTTATTAAAGTTTCCGGATATTTTTTTTCAGAAGAATCTTTGCTAAATTCCAGGACTCGTATGTTATATATAATGACAATCTTTAGATTTTCGATTTAATTTTGTCTAGCATCACCATAACACTATACCATTAAAACATCGAGTAATTCATTATCATGTGATCAATCAATGCTGTAGCGGTAGAAACTAATAGAAATGCGTTACTCCGCTTCGTTATAGAAATAATAATACTGGTCAATTGAATTATAAGATACATTACAATGTAATGATAGTTTAACACATAGTTTATCTGTTATCAATAAATTAATTGCAAACATTTGAGGCACATGATAACACAAGTTCTAATTATATGAACTTAATTATTATAATTTTAAAATTATTATCTATATAAAATTTTTGAGTTGGGCAGGCATTGCATATTTGTAATATTTGTGCATATGCATTTACGACTGGATAGGAATTTAAAATAATTATTAAATATTTCATTTTAGACCTATTTTTAAGTATAGGCTTAATTACATAATTGTTTACCAGTAACTTATATATTTTCGAAAAAAAGCCCTTTATCACCAAATAAGCCTATTTAATCTTCTTATTCGAAATTATAAAATAGAAATGGGATTTTTTAAATTCCTCTTTTTATTATATCCGTGGGTCTTCGTATATGAAATGGCGATCAATGGTTTTTTTTTTTATTTACTGTATCAGATATAACCAGTCGTTCGACGGGCCTAACACCTAGTTAATATTTAATTTAAATAATAACAGGTTTTATATTATGACGAGAATGGGTTATATACTAAAATATGAGATATTCTAAGCGGCTTCCAAAAACCCAGGCCTGTGTCACAGCTGCAGCATCTGATTGTAAAATGATTGTATATACGTTGTGAGGGGCTAATTGGAACCCTAATCTCGAATATAGGCCTCACGGATAGGCGAGACCAACTGGATTCTGTGCTTTACATTACCCCACACCCCTCCTCAGCGACTCCTCTCCCTCATAGTAAAAAAATTTAGATAAATATTCATAGAGCTACGGGATATTTCTGGAAAATTTTATACAGTCACGGAACAATTCGGAAAAATTTTTTAAAAATCTTTTAAAAATTTTACTATGTAAACCGCAAATCCCCCCCCCTTCCGGAGGGGAGAGGGGGTAATGTAAAACACAGAATCCAGTTGGTCTCGCCATATTTATCTGCTCTAAACTAATCCAAATCAACACTCTAAAACCACTAAACTCTATCGAACCCTAATAGTGGTAGGCGCAAAAGAAGGCGTGGAAAGACTTGGTCCGAGTTATTAGGCCAAATAGAGCTCTAGATTACGTCACGAAACTCTAATTCGGGTCACAGAATATAAGATTATTTATCGGGATTTAGGAGAATGAATGTTAACTAGCGATTACTAGATATATATATCTTGCCTTATATATGTACATTATTTGACTACAATCTGATTCGCTGATTCTATCCAACATATATAACCTATCAAATAGATATAACATATCTAACCTATATAACCTATATAACATATCGAACATATCTAACGTACCCAACAGATATAATGGTTATGACATATCTAACAGATACAACATATCTGATGGATCTGACACATCTGTTAGATCTGGCGGATCTGACATATCTGACATATCTAACAGATATGGCCGACCTTTTCCGGCCCACCTCGATCGACTACGCCAAAAAATGATTTCAAGTCACATTTTTCCCATTCACAACTTGCAGCTACGGTTCAAAACAGGGTTTTAAAGGTTGCCACGGGTTTCTCGAAGTTTGTTATTGTCATAATTGCGTTAAATATGATCTTACTATCTGTCCAGATAGAAAATTCTGAAAAGAACTATGTAAAAAAAGGGAAATTAAAATACCGTATGTTACCGAATAAAATCAACAAAAATGTTGCAAAAATTTGAGTTTTCTCGGATTAAAATTGATAAATCAATCATGATGTATACTGTATAAACACGAGCAGCCGTCAATAACATGGTGCACAATAGTATAAGGTGGGGATGGATTCGGTCAGCTATTATTATTATCGGCTATCGATTAATAACCGGCTATAATCTGCTATAGTAATAGCTGATCAATTATTTGATCAATTTCTTAATCGATTTTTAATCAAACATATAAACAAGTGACAAATAATTGTCGCGGATTAAAATGAAACTAGCCTCTAATCCTAACCCCAAACCCTAAAAAATGCACCACTGTGGCTTGTCTATTTTTTACATTGACAATATTTCATTTTAATCCGTCACAATAATTATATCTTTGTGTTATACAATACAGTATTAGAGTATCCTGGCCATGGCGAAAAAAGTTCGGGTCACATGTCACATGCTATAAACAGACAAAATAAAAATTCTCAAGATTCTAGCGAAGATTTCTCTGTAACTACTTGATTAAACCCAGTAAAATTTTTTTATTTCAATTCTAAACTTTTGTAAAATTAAAATAAAAAACAACTCTATCGAAATTTGATAGATGGTTGTTGAGAAATCTTCACTAAAAGTGTTGTTAAAAAACTTTTGAATTTAACAAAATTGTCAAATTTTCTTTTTTTAACTTTAAACGAAGATCATTGATTCAAATTCGATGAAATTTTTTTATTTTAATTCTGCAAGTTTATAGAATTAAAATAATGTCGTACGTCAGAATGTAATTATTGTAAATTTAGAATTTACCTAGGTTGATTCCGAATAAACATAAACATATATTGTAATAGAATTCTAAAATGTGCACGAGTCGTTAAAGAATTCAAATTCAACTTATAACAAAATTATGTATATTCCAAATTATTTCATTGAGTACGTTGTTTTGGAATTTAAATAACTTGAGATACATAACACAGTGCATTGCAAATTGATTAAATTTAAAAGCATGACACGAAATTTTTACATCTATGATTAGTAGGATAGATAGCAACTATTCCTACAGGGTATATTTATTTTTACATTTACAGTGATTTTTGTCTCATTTTGCATTTGCATTTAATATTACCTACTTGTGAAGAGGATAGCATAATAGATGCTTTTTGAATCTTATGAGCATTGAAAGAATATTATTTTAATCACGTATTGCAAATGTATTTTTTTTTTGCCAAATAACGATATTTCGCATCCCGATTGTTGTATTTGCTGAATCTTTAAAAGTCTTCACGTAAGGTTTTATGTCGCCTATTTGCCGACTAATTACTGAAATATTTGTGAAACCAATTCTTTGAATATATTACGGGTAGGGTTGGCAATGGAGCTCAATGGAGCTGCGAATGGAGCCAATGGATACTAGTTTTTTGAGCTCTATTCACGTACCATTTAGTTCCATTGGCTCCATTGCTAACTCTGATTACGGGTAAAAATGGATAATCTTAATATTCGGTCGTCAGGTAGAGAATTGCATAGAATGAAAAAAAAAAGAAATGATAAAAGATTAGTATTTTAACTTGGCAATATATCATGATTTATTATAGCATCGAATTAAAATCTGCCTAAGTTGCTATTAAATTTATCGTATATTTAGGATCGACTTAAGTTGCTTTTAAATTTTGTATCAACTTGGGCTACATTTGGAATTCCGTCAAAACCTAAGTGGATTCTAAATCTACAATAATTTCGACG